TAGCGAGAGGGATCGGGCTGCACAGGATACCACTGTCAAGAACACGGATGCTGTTGGCTCTGAGTTCCCTCGCCTGCCATTCCCCCATTGCTTGCCCCAGCACGATCCTCGGTAACAAGTATTGGATAAACTCCGCTGCATCATGTTGTTGGTGCATGTGCCTCCACTGTTGAAGCAGCAGAGACCATTGTAACCCGGCGGTGACCTTAGTGATATGCTGGGACGGCCTGGGATGGCAGAAGGGTTGTAGGGACGGGGCAATTGTCACGGTAGTAGTCCCATGAAGCCGAGCCTGAAGCAGGGTCCAAAGGAGGCTGCTGATGGTGGAGTTGATGTAGCACAGTGAGGTGGAATTATGCAGGGACAGCTGGAGTGATGGTATCCTGCTTGTTCACCATCGGTTCAGCTCGTAGAGCTCCTCGATCGCCGGCACCCTATGGTGTGCCACGCCGCTTGTCCCACCCACTCCTGTAGGATTGTCCAGATCGGGGCTCCTCCCGGCCTCAGTGACACCTCCACTTGAAACTGTGTCCACTGCGCCGTGGGCTGAGGCACCAGCTTCCTGACACTCTTGAAATGGTGCAGGGTGTCCTCCGTGACGTGCTTCCGGATGTCCACCAGCTGCTGCAGGAGATCGTTCGTAGATTTGGAGGGTGCCGTCTCGACTATCTCGAGCTTCTGGGACTCGTGGCTCCAGCGAAGTACCTGCCAGTGGCCGTGCTCGTCCAGTCAGCCCAACCGCCGGGCTTCCTGTAGGGCCTCCTGGTTTGCCGCCGTGGCTTCCAGTCGTTCGTGCAACGTCAGGAGAAGCTTTTTGAACATCGCAATCTTGAGGTTGTATGTGAGCTTGTTGGGCTCTTGCTCCTTCATCTCCCTCCAGACTTCCGCCGTCCTGAATAGGATCGGTATGATCCCTCCCCCCGCCTCGCCCCCCTTCACGAAGAGGTGCATGACCAGGTCCTGACGAAGGGATGCGATCGTTCGCTCCTGCCTGAGCACCACCTTTGTGAGTTTGTAGAGGTGGTGCTGAGTCTTGTCGCCCGTCCACTGGCTCGAGCCCTCGTTTGTCCACGGTGGCGTGGGCTGCTCCGAACCACCTGTGTAGTCCTCCCAGCTGTGACCGTTGGTCCAGGGGCTCACCGGACTTTGCTTGCTTTTGCCTTTGCCCTTTCCCTTGCCTTTGGGCCCTGTCTTGCCCTGGCTTTTGCCTTTGCCCTTCCCCCGGTTGTTCCATGCCCCCTTTGTGCGCTGGCTTTTCTGCCTGTCGTCTTCCTCCTGCGGCTCCGGGCTCCGCTTCTGAGAAAACCGGTTGAAGAACTGCGACTCCTCCAGGTCCAAGTCCATGGCTACTCTGTCGGTCGATGGAGACATGGTGTATCTGCAAAAATGCACAGATGCTGATGACTGGGCATTGAAACCAGTGTCTATCCTTATTAATTGACCGCACTTTGGCCGCAGTACCTACAGGGGAGGACGGTGTGCCTACGGAAGCTTCGCATGAGCTGCTTGGCCTCGGCTTGGTGCTTGAGCCAGCTTGGATGCTGGGTAGCCAGGTGGCGTTTAAGACTGGTGGTGTCTGCATGGCACTGCGTGCAGAGTGGGCAGCAATGCCTCAGGTAGGCCTGGACGTCCTGGTTTAGCAGGAGGCGTTCCCAGCCGCGCTTTCCAAGAGCCTCTTGGATAGGAGGCCACTGGGGCTCTGCGTTCGGCACATGCTCCTGTTCCGGGCGGTCACGAAGTACGTGGCACCTATTCCAGCGTATGTGCTGAGACAGATTATGCCAGCGACGGAAGTCATGTTTGCAGAAGGAGCAGATCGGTAGGCCACCAGACCCGTGCACCGTCTTGTCGAAGGTGGGTCCACTCTCCTTCGGGGTTTTCTTTTGGTGGTGGGCTGCCTCGTGGATACGGAGGAGACGGAAGGTCCTGAACTGCTGCCCACATTCCTTGCAGCCATGGTTGTCGACTCCGAGGTCCCCTAAGCCCGCTGTGTCGGTGCAGGTCTGAGCCGCCTGCAGTGTGGCGGCCGTCGCACGCACCTGTTCCCGAATTTCTGGCCTCATC